ATTATGTTCATGACTTAGAAGAGGCATTTAAAGGAATATTAATGACTAATACAGTATTTCTTCCCTTTTTGCAAACACCATGTAAGCCTGTGTGCTCTGCACAGCCATAGCGTGAGGCCTGCCCAGCTCTCAGGTGCATGCAGCCAAGTCCTCACAGGAAAAGTGTCTCTTTAAAGGCTCATGAGGGGATGCAAATGGTAGGGGAAAAAACGAGTACAAACAGAAGAGAACAGCAAAATCCCAGTAGTTGGACATGGCAGGGAGAGACAGAGATATTCCTTGAGATTAATGAGTTCAGGAGCAGCTTAGGCTCAGTACAATTACTAAAAACACTTTAATCCAAGGTATTGATGACTTAATAGCTGTGCAATTTTCCTTATCAGCTTTAACAGATAGTGGTGTGTGCTCCAGAAAAGACTGTGACGGAGTGTTATTTACTTCCCTGTGTAGTGAGTTGTTGTGCCCTTAAACAAGAAGAGAATGTTATGAGGTCAAGCAAAACTGCTCTCAGTACATTATACCAGCTTTACAAAAGGGCATCTTTGAAATGCATCCCTTTAGTCAGTATCATCCATTTTGCCATTGCAATGGAGAGGAATTGCTGTCTCCTGCCAGATATGTGACCGTTTGTGAGCAATGTAAAATATGTCCAAAATTAAGGCAGTGTATGTTAGTGAAGCAGGAAGAGGTCTGAAAGTGCTGGAACTTACATCCCCTTATTTGATTTTTCCTTCTGACTGAGATCTTTGGTCTGTGCTGTTACTTGGAGCAGGTCCAGAGGAGAGCCACAAAGATGCTCAGAGGGCTGGAGTTGCTCTCCTATGAAGACAGGCTGAGGGAGTTGAGCTTGCTCATCCTGGCGAAGAGAGGGCTTCAGGGAGATCTCATTGCAGCCTGCCAGTACTCGAGTGGTGCTTACAAACAGTATGGGGACTGATTTTTTACACAGTCTGGTAGTAATAGGACAAGAGGGAATAGATTTATACTAAAACAGGGGAAATTTAGGTTAGATGTTAAGAAGAAATTATTTACTCAGAGAGTGGTAAGGGGCTGGAACAGGATGTCCAGAAAAGCTGTGGATGCCCCATCCCTGGAAGTGCTCAAAGCCAGGTTGGATGGGGCCCTGGGCAGCCTGACCTGGTGTGTGGCAGCCCTGCTCATGGCAGGAAGTTGGAACTGGGTGGGTTTTGAGGTCCCTTCCTACCTGAGCCATTCTATAATTCTATGATTCTACCTGAGCTACAAAAACTCACAAGCTTCTAGATTTTCTTCCAATGTTATTGCATTCTCAGGTGAGTATGTAACAGCAGGAGAAAAACTGCAGTTCACAGGTCATCTAAGATTGTTGCAAATTTTAAGGAAACTTCTTTGTTTCTGTGGTTCCAGTTCAGTTATTACAGAAAAGAAACACGGTGTGGCTCTTTATCAGGGCCAGAGACTACAGGATGAAAAATTAGGGAAGGAAAAATCTGGAGCCGCAATGAAAAGAAAGGAGAATGATGGGAAAAAGTAGAGTTCTGGATCAGTGTCAGGGAGGGTGTTTGAGGAGAGAAGAGGGGTGGAGAGTAGGAGAAGCAGTTTATAGAGGAAAGAAGTCTGCAGCCTCTCGCTGTGCGGCAGGGTTTTGGAACAGCTGAGATGAGACCTGTACACTAAAGGCTAGGCCTCCTGTCCAAATCCCCTTCTGAGCAGGCTGAGGGGTGCATTAGACAAGACAGAGCAACCTTCAGCATTGCCAGCCTCTTCTTTTTTAGTTGGTAAGGAATAATGCTGGCAGGCTCTGGCTTCCTGCTTCCTTTGCAGGTGCTCAGCACAAAAGCACACAGCCTGCTGTGGGTAGGAGGCAGGGAGCTGCTGATGGGCTACTGGGGCTGTTCTGTGCTCACCTACACTCCAAGTATCATGCTGCATTACCCTGCATTCTGGGAAAATTCCCTATCATTCCGTGTTTGAGGGTATCCATTTTGTTCTGCTGGAGTCACATTAACTGTCTCACAAAGGTGTCTTGAAAATTGCTTTAAAAAACAAATCAGGAGTATGGCATAACAAATAAATGTTCAGAAGAGCCATTTTATCATCTTAAAGCAGCTATTTTCCTGTGACACTGCAGTGCTTGGATGAGATGCAATTTCAAATCTGAAAAAGCGTCTTCACAGGAGTATTTATTTTGCTTTAAGCTTAGCTCTGTTCACAAAAGCAGCTGCAATAACAATGCAATAATTGGAGTGCACTGAGTGCCAAGGTGGTGTTTGTTCCTCTCTCTCTTTTAAAGGTGCTTGAAGTTCAGTGCTTATTGGATGCAGTGCAGCCAAGGAGATGTCCTTGATTTTGGGCAAGATGGAGAGGACGAAAATGGGCTCAAGAGATATTCTCTGGAAGGGAAAACTGAACTGGGATACATCTGGGCTAGCCAGCAATTGCTTTATTAACACAATGAGGTAATGGCAACTCATTGAAAACCCAAACAATAAAATCCACAGATTTTGTGAGCAGCAAAAACCGAAGAAATTGAGTTATTTGTGGATTTGGACCTCCTACTTGAAATCTCTTTTAAAGGATGGATTTACTCTCCATTAGTAAGGCCATTCAGGACGTAATTGCTCCTGTTCAGCCCTTCACTCAACAGCAATGCTTGCCCATGGGATGTCTCTGTGCATCTTCTCTGCATAACTCCATGATACTTGTAGGAGCCAAATATCTTTACCATCTGTAGCTTGATGTAAAATGAGATTTATACTGTCCACTGTGTTAGTGGGAATGTATGCAGGCACACAAAGGGTTATTATAAGCCATCACTTTAGGAAACTGGTGAAAACCCAGACCTCCTGCAGACTTTGTGTCATATCCATGTCCTGACAAGCTGGGTGGAATTTTATCAGAGAGCAATGAGCAGAAGTCTCTCTGAGCTGGTAACAAAGCCAGGCCCTCAAAGGTGAGGGCAGCTTCTGGGTCACAGAACTGAGAGAGGTTCAAGAGAATTCTGGAATCAGCAGCCAACCTGCCTCTGTCTTAATGTGCCACACGCTAGGTTTTGGGGTAACAAAATCTTACAATGAAATGAGTTTCTGAAGCAGGCTGGAAGCAAGGCATCGGTTCAAGTGCATTTGTTCAGTTTTATCACTGGGTTGAGATGTTACTTACGGCAGATGACTCACAGAATTATGTCATAGTGATAGAGAATTTAATTGCCCAGCTCCACAAGGATTATTATACCCAGCAAGAGAATTTCATACATATCTGCAGGTTACACAAGAGGTACAGCTGTAACACTGCCAGGCAGCACTCCCTTCTCATCTGCTCCAGTGCATGAAGTTGCAACTTTGCACGCCAGCAGCATTTTGTGAGGGATTAATCCGTCTTCTTGCTGAGTTCTCGTTTGCCCTCTGAAACAAGCACATCTGTGCTTTTTAATATTAGATGCAGAGTGCCAATGGAAGCTGCTGCACAGTTCATTAGCTTACTTCATTCTAAGGGTGCTATTTCTTTCATGGATTTCCCAAGTATTTCCCTGTAAAGGCCCTCCTACAGCTCTTCTTCCCGTCCTCACTATTCTCCCGTCTTCTTGGTTCTTCTCTCCCACTGATAAAGAGGAGGTAAAAGAGTCTTCACTGGAAAGAAGACAGCAGCAAGGGTGTTTTTTTTTCTCCTTCCTATCACAGATTATTTTCTGCATAGGTCGTAGCTCACTGCATTAAGAACTGAAGGTTGGGTTTTGAGGCTATAAGAAGACAGGATACCAGCTGAGGGCTCTCTCCCACATGGGATCTTAGTCCTCAAACCAGAAACAAAGTGGGCAGCAAACTGTAAAACTGGAAACTTGAGATCTCTTGGACATGCAATAATTTCTATAAGAACCACAGCTTAATGGTTTACAGTTTCTATGTTTGCAAACTTTCCCTTCTGGTGTGGCTTATTACAGTAAAATGACATCTATTTCTATATAGTTTTGAAAAGAAGGAATGTTTCACATTGCATCTGCATAATTGAAAGAAGTTCTATTAAGGAGTATCTTTCAGCCAAAGAAGGTCTACTTTCATACTCAGCAATTTTCATGAGCTACCTAAAGCAAGTAGGCTCCCTGAAGTTTTCATGAAATATAAATGCCAGTGATAGAGAAATGAATTAAGATCTCAGTGAAATACATTGTAAGTTGGGAAGACTCCAAGACAATATATGCCCACTTTTCATGAAATTGTATGTGTTCCATGAATTGTTTAGACCACATATTTTACAATATTAATTAACTTTCACAGCAATATTCATGACATTTAATAGCAATGTTCATGCAATATTAAAGAAAACATTAAAAAAATCACAACGACAAGCTTAATGAATCACAGGAGCACAAAAATCCTTCTGAAAGGTAAGAGAACAGTCACACTGCTTCACTTGTCTTACAGTTCTTTAAAGAAAGACAAGCAGTATTTGTTGATAGATTCACAAAATAGGTCTTAAAGTTCTCAACAGGCATTCGTATGCATAAAGACAGCACAGACCCAGCTGAGCTGGAATTTATTTCAAATCATTAACAAAAAAATAGTCCCTTCTTGTCATGACAGTTTTCATCTGAGGCCAAACATCCCTCTGCAGAGATTGTCCTTCTAGCTGCTTAGAATTTCTGTGTCTTGAGGCAGACAATCTTACCCCTCAAATTCTTGCCAATGGCCTTTAAGTTTTCCAAATTCATACTTCGTCCTTACCTTGCAGCTCATTAGAGTAGCTGAAGAGAAGGCTTTGTTGATCAGAAAACCTAGGGAGGAATGAGGTGGGGCTCCAGGAGGAAGATCACCAGCTCTATCAGTTACAGCAACTGTGCAAGTAATGGATGCTTTACAGCACAGTGCATTAATGCTGACAAACTGATAACTGTGATAACACATTTTGGACAAGCAAGACTCCATCAGTGTGGGAATTGGAAAGGCTTCCCTTCAAGCGGCATGGTTAGTGGGCACGGTGAGGATGGGTTGGTGTGGACTAGATGATCTTAGAGGTCATTTTCAACCTTAGTGATTCTGTGATTATGATTCCTATGAAAGAAAGGCACAATTAAAAAGAGGAAGAAATGAGTTTCTTTAATCGTGCCCAAAATCCGTCCTTCCCCACCTACCCAGCTGCAGACTTTATGCCATGGAGCACAAGGCTGTTGCCCCCAGCCAAGGTCTGTCTTGGAGCCCCTGGCTGAGCCCTGACATCAAGGATGCCCTGCAGGTGTGCCTGTACCAGGCTGTGTGGGTGCTGGCAGTGCAGTGGAGTGGATCTCAGTGTCTCCCACAAGCTCATTGTGAGCTCTACTGTAAGCAGGGAAGAGTGGCCTCAGGGTCTTTGATTTGCTTTCTCACTATTTGGCTGTACTTGCCTATCAGTGCCTGTGGATGGCAATACCATGTGAAGGTATTAAACAGTGTGTGAACCTCTCCGGGGATTTCAGATGCTCTGTAATATCGAAGGCCTCAGTCAGTAAGGTTTGCTACTAAAGGGAAGTGGTGTATGGGGCAGACAAGGGAGATACGTACTGGGATTGGTTTTGGAGTATTAAATGTGGAGGTTGGCAGCCCTGGGGGTTGGATCTTTGAGGTCCCTTCCAATCCAGGTGGTTCTATGATTCTGTGGAGTTTTTATTTAAGGAAATGTTCCTCTGATGGGAGTTTGTAAGAAATGAGTTTTTAACTTGGCTCACAATTACAAAATGAGGAGAGAAAAGGCAGTACTTTGATTTAGTTTCTTTGGTTGCTCTGGAAAGGAACACACTTACTTGTCAAGAGGGGCTTTCAAATATCTTCATGGCCTCCTCTCAGTAGTCCACTGGGTGAAGCCTTCAGTTTCTCAGTGGGTAAAGACTGTTTGGGCAGGTTAGGACTGAGCAATGTCTGTGGAATAATTCATGTGAGTAGGCAGCAATTGAATCCCACACTATTTCACTACTTTCTTTGTATGAATGAGAGCTCTACTGTTGACATTTGTGACTCAGACTCGAACACTGACCGCTTTCTCTATCAGCAGCAGAACTGCTTCTCTATAAATATTTAATAGTAGTGTTTAATATTTCCAGACATGACAGAGCTGAAGTACGATGTACAGCAGTGACCTGCTTTTATAATGCGTGTGGTGGCTGAGAGAGGAAAATCTCCTACTTACTACTTGGAAAACAGCAGAACAAAATGACAACCACATGGGCTAGGGGGGAGAAATAGAGTTGTCATAAGGCACCAGAAATGCCTGGAAAGCACTGCTAACAGTAGGATGTTCCTGTGAAACAATCCTGTGCCAGCTCATTAGAGGGCTCTGGCAAGGATATTTGGCATAAAGTAGATTTTATTTAGAATTAGGAACTCTGCTGCCCTACTCTTGGCAAGAAGTGAGCTTACGAATTAAACTGTCCTGTAAAATAATGACATTACCTTGTATTATGAATTGTTGTAGAACTGGAAACATAAGAAATGAAACTTGAGATGTGGAGAAGCATGGACAGCTAACATTCAGGGAGCACAAGCGATGCATGCACTGCATGCTGTCACAGCACGAAAGCAGTGCTCGAGGTCCAAGCCTGTGTTGAACACTTAGATCCTTTTTTGCTAAGGCTTTCAGTTACTCCAGTGGTTGCTTCAGTGGTTATCTTTTTTCAGGTTCAGTCTCTTTAAAAATTTTTCTTCTTCACTGGACATCTCAGGTGGCTTAGTATTAAAATTTCATATTTGCCAGGGGCTTACTTTTCAATTAGAACACGTTTGGAAAGTCTGGGTTAGGTGGAAGAAAGTTTTAAAAGCAGGAAGATTGCGGCTGGGCATGCGATGCCTCTCTAAATGTTTGATGAAGCATAGGGCTCAGTTCTTGCTCCCTGTGGGAAAAAGACCAATAGGGATAGTGATGCGTTTTTGAAGCAGCTCACTGAGTATAGGGATGGCTTATTTCCTAAAGTGGATGCAGTATTTTTGAAACACAACAGCAAAAAGCCTAAGTCAGTCTTCAGGGTTGGTATAATGATTATAAGAAATTGATACATTTTAGATAAGATCAGTTTATTTCCCTCAGCACATCTCAAACTCACAAATTTACAAGTGGAGAGAGTTTCTTTGATATTTCCTTGTGATTATTGCTTTCTCAGATCAAAGACAGCATCCAGTCACCTGAAGAAAGCCAGGTTATGGAGCACTGCAGCTATTTTACTCCAACTTGAGCATACAGGAATGAAGCATGCTTTCCTGCATGTGCTGTGCCTTAGCATTCACGAGCATCCTCATGAAGCCAAGCTGTGAGTCAATGCTGTGTCAAACTACAGGGAAGAAGAATATCAGTCATATGGCATTTCTAATCACGAGGGGAAATGGATTTGACTAAATGAATATGCAAATGCCAATTTACAATTAAATCATGAGCTCCTCCTGATGTGCAAAATTCCCTGGTGAAAAATATGTTACTGTATCAGTTCTTCGGTGCTTGACCTCACAATGCTGTCCTTAATGAAAGGAAAAACTAAGCAGGGAAAAAAAAAGCCACTCGTAACAAGAAAAAGAAAATAATTTAATTTCTTCTTATGTTGTGCTATTCTCAAAGCTGTTGGTATTTTTCTGTTTTGAAGAAGTGCAATTGACACAAAGCTTTTACAGCATACTTTGACATTTAAAACGCAGCTTCCTGTGCTTGCATTCATGCATGGTTTCCTGAATGAAGGGTGATAAGTAAACACTCACTGCTGTTTTCCTGCGCACAGGATGGGATTTGTTATACACAGGGGCAAGTTGCTTCTGTAACCTGAAAACCCCTTGCCCTAACGCGTCAGCAAGTGCCGGGAAAGGAGGCAGGCCTTTTCCTTCTGACCCAGTCTTGGCATTTAGAGCTATTGGCCGTGGCATGGGAGGTGACAGTTTGCTTCCTGCTACTCACTCAGCGAGAATGTCCCCTCCAGGTGTCATAACAGTGCTTAGTGGAGCACTTGTCCTGCTGTGCTGCTCAGTGTTTCATCTTGTCGTGGTAGGATGGGCTGGCTCAGAGGATGCCGTGCTGTACTCCAGAATAGCACGTTTTCCTGAGTGGGGAAGGCAAAACCCAAACAGCTTTACACTGTGCTGAAAGAATTGGAGTGCCACAGCCGAAGCCAGACTTCCGCTGTCCTTAGTGAGCACTTGAACCAGTCATGTAGTTGGGTAGAAACACCTTTCCTCTCTCACCAGAGGTCATGTGTTCGGAGATCTTGTCTAATCCTACTCACAAGCTCAGCAAGAAGGAAAAGGCTTAGACCCTGAGAAAGTTTTCAGGTTGTACCAAGCTGTTGGGTGTAGTCAATATACCTGAGGGATACTTGTAAGGCTGAGCAGGGTGGTTCATTGGCAGACCTGCACAGAGGGCTCTCAGCCATGCACAGCAGCAGAACAGAAGGGGGACAGAAATTCCTTTGTCAAATGCAGACCCAGCAGAGTTCGGATCTCAGGAAAGGTGAGGTGTAAGCACCAGAACTGTATCCGTGAACTAGGCACTGCGCCTATTCACAGCAACCTGCTCTGACTGCTACCCCTGCATCCATCAGCTGCCTCATGGCTATCAGTCCCACTGTTCTTGTTGTCTCCTCCACCTTCCCTCGGTATGTTTTAGAAATACTATTTTAATGGTGAAGCGAGACTGCACAGGTTAACTTGGACATTCAGCACCAGACAAACTTCACAGTACCAGCCTGAAGCCGCCTGCCTGCCTGTGCCTGGGCTGTCAGACCTTCCTCATGCTTCATGACTGATGCTATGCCTGGACTGCAAGCCCTGCCGAGGAACCTTGCTTTCTTCTGGGGCTGGAAATTCAGAGTCGGGGGCACCACCAAACCCTCCTGCACAGCAGGAGGTGGTGGGAGCAGAGGAGGCCTTGGCCCAGCCCCTTGTTCACAGGGGCAGGGCTGCAGTAAGCAGAGCCCAGGCTGGCTGCACAACACATCTGTGGCTGGCAGGCAGCTGGCCATGGCAGGTGCTTTTCCTGTGCATGGAGGAAAGCCTAACAGAAGGCTTAAAGCTGGGCCGGGAGACCTGCTTAGATGGCAGAACGATGTTGGGTGAAGTGCTAGCTGTGGCCTGCTACCTTTCTTCTAAAATCCTGATTTCTAAAGTATGTTACAGCTGCCCTTTGGCACGGGTTTTTGGTAAAAAGCCAATAGGCAGAGCTGTAGGACACATGGATTGTTTGGCAGAAACAGCAGCAGGGCTGTGCAAATCTGTGCTGACATGGAGGACTGCATTCTCACCATGGGCACTGAGGTGCTCCCAGCTGCAGCTGTCAGCTTGGTGTTGTACCCCGGCCCATCACCCTACCATGGAGTGGGCTTGGGGTGAGTCCAGTGCAGTGAAAGAGGAGCTGTAGCTGAGCCAAGAACTCAGATCAAGAATCCTTGCCACAGAGATGACAGGCAGAGAAACAAATGGAAAGTGAAAGATGGATGAGCTGGAATGAGTTGTGAAGTGACAGCTTTGTGACTGGTTCTGACTTATTTCTTTTCTGAGCTCCAAAGCTGAGTGCCTCATAAATTCGAAAGACATCAAAACTGTAACTAACATATCAGAAACCATCCTAGATCTCTGGAAATTTAAGGAATGGTGACTGTAACCAGAAAGCAAAAGACAATGAACTTGGAATGAATCCCTTCGCCAGAGTGCTCTTTGGGGTATTTATTTCAGCTTTGACACTGGAGCCAGCATACTGACACACTTGTGAGCACTGGGGATCACCCAGGGACTGTAGTAAATTCTAACATGGACCCACAACTGAAACCCAATTCACAGTGCCTGGCTGGATGTTACAGACAGTTCTTAAACAGGCAAGATGGCTGGCATGGCCCTCACACTCCACAGCCACGGGCACATGGTGCCCTGGTTTGGTAGAGGGCTGCCAGCCTGTATGGGGGAACCTAAATTGCGAGCAGCTGTGCCAGGCCTGCAGGAGAGCCCACCTAGCGCCATGCGGGGCTGCTGAGGGCCTAAAGCTGGGAGAACAGGCCAGGAGGGTTGTAGCCCAAAGGGCCTCTGTATCTCCTTAATTCATGCCAGCATCTGCAACAGGTCCTGGCAGAGCTCGTGGCATTAACCTTCTGTTAAGGTTATTCAGTGAGGAGGAAAGAATTTGAAAATGAATGATGGCAACGCTAACCCAGCTGCAAATTATTATCTAGCACCAAGCAATGACCAGCACCTCTCTTCTTGGTAATGAAGAGTGATAGCCATGAACTTTTTGGGGCAATACTTTAACACTTTACCATGCAATTGTACAGCAATCTCCCAGTTGCCACCATTTTTAATTTTTTTTTTTTGCACAGAACAGCCACAGGGCACCTACTGTCCAGCAATGAATTTCAGAAAAGCACTAATCTTGCTATTTAATTTGTGCTTATTTATTGAACCCTGGATCATCTCTAAATAGCACATATTACAGTGAACTTTGGCCATGCTGACAGCATTTCAGGTGGGGCTGGGCCAACTCCTGGCCACAGCCTCAGGTTGGGCCTGGCATTGCTCTTCCTCCAGGCTTTTGTTTTGTTTTTGGTCTTTTCCTTCCTGGAAAAGAAGTAACCTTTCTCTGAGGATAAAGTGTTTATACTCTCTCACAAGGCAGAGCTTCAGCTATATAAACCTAATTTGTCAGTTTTTTCCTCACCCCCAATCTGTCTTAATGGATCTCTTATGCATTTATAATGTACTCGGTACCGTGGTACCAAGGGACCTTATGCACAATTCATAAAGCAAACTTTTTTTTTCCAAAAAGTTTCGACTTCTCTTCTGGCTGCTGCCAATCTCCACCAGGCAGCTCTCCTCAATTTGCAAAGGATGCCCACAGTCCATGTCGCAGGCTGACAGATTGTCTTCCAGCATCCTGGCCTTGTTTGTGGGATGGCTTTGTTAGCAGTTCTTACTATCAAACACCCTGTCATCAACAGAGCTTGATGCATTTCTCTGCCAGCATCAGCACGGGCATCAGTCAGCACTGGCAGGTCCCTAGCTCAGCTGAGTGGTGTCTGAAGTAAGAATCCAAAGCGTTTCAGTGCACCTTGAGGTGGTGCTACTACTGTTGTGGAGAAGATAATCAGTAGTTAATGAGGATTGAAACTTTAATTTTTCCGTGCCAATGGTTGTAAGCAGCTGCATGCATTGATTTGGAGTAGCTTTCTGCTTGGGCCTGAACAATGTGCCTACCCTTCCCAACGCCTGAGGTGTGCACCTGGCTGCGTGAGGAGCTGTGCTCATGCTGGCCTTGAACTCCAAACATGAGCTCTGTAGGACTGGCAGCCTTCTTCCAAATCCAGTTTTCCCACCTGTAGGCTGACACTGTGCTGAGAGCACATCTGTATTTCACTTCATGGTGATACTGCTCAACATATTCAAGAGCAAAGGGACCTCATGTGAGAGCTGCTCCCCAACAAGGAATTGGGATCCTTTGTGCCTTGTGCCTTCATGTATTTCATGCTCCAAATCAACGTGCCTGATCTTTTTCCACTATGAAGTGGTTTTGTTAATTTTTTTGAGGGTTAGGTAGGATATCTGGAAAAAACTTCTTTACAGAAAGGGTTGTTAAGCACTGCAATAGGCTTCCCAGGGAGGTGGTTGAGTCACCATCCCTGGATGCGTTTAAAAACCGTTTGGATGTGGTGCTCAGGGACACGATTTAGCAGAGGGTTGTTAGAGTTAGGGTAGTATGGCTAGGTTGTGGTTGGACTTGATGATCTTTAAGATCTTTTCCAACCTGAGTAATTCTACAATTCTACAGTTCTATTTCTCATCCTACAAACTAGTCAAGTGTAACCAAATCCTGCATTTTCCAAAGTCTGTTTCGTCTTCTTCCCTAGTCAACAACTGCATCACTTCAACAACTGAAGGCTTTATGAGAACAAGACAATTTTCAGAGAACTGAAAGTGTTTTAAACTACAGCAGAGTAATGGCCTAAGGAAAATCTCTTCAGTAAGTATGCTTAGGTTATACTTATTTTCCAGCACAAGCATATAACAACACCTAAGAAGAAATATTTTGTGAACATTCACACTGACTGAATCCAACAGACTCATCTTTGGGCAAAAAAAAAAAAAAAAATTTAAATGAAACAAAAATTCCAAAGCCTGTGCCATGGATGCTCAACTCCTTTCAAAGAGAGTTAGGATAGCTGCTGAGCAGCACTGGGGTAAAAGTGTGGTGCTCTCCAGGGCTGCCTCTGAATTTAAGACTTAACAGACACGATCTACGTTACACTGATGAACGTATTGCAAAAGTAATGGATTGAGTCATAAGTTAGAAGTCAAATTCTGACTGTACTGAGCTGGCCAACGTCTTAAGGCACTGCAGACTGCTCCAGTCTCCCAGGCTGCTTCAAGAGGAGGGAGCATAAGAACCTCCCCAGCAGCTTTTGAGAGGAATAAATGTGCAGATTTGACCTCTTCAGCATTATACATTATCACAGTTTCTCTCTGCTTTGTAAATCCAGGCTTCATCTAGTTCAGACAGGAACCTTCATTACCTTTAGAGTCAGATGTTACTGAAAAGGACAAGGCAAAAGGTGTGTTAATAATTTAAGCAAACATTTATCCTTCCTATTAAACTGTTAAACTACAGATAATCCTTGGAGTATTTTTAGAAATCGCTGCTGTATCTTCTAACTGAGAAAATACATCGAAACAAGCTGTACACACACAGACCCCAGATGAAACTCAAGAGGGCACACAGATTTTGGAAAGTTTTGGAAGTGATAAAAGAAGCACAAAATGGAAATGAGCATCCAAACCAGCAAAATATATTTAAGTAGTATCACAAATACACACACGCACAAAACCTATTTACAGATGCAAAATCAGTATGTCCAGTAAAAATCCTCCCACAGAAAAGTATTTAGAAACAAGAAATTTAACCCAGTTACATCGTCCACTGCTGGTGACAGAGATGCTTACAGCTAGCATAGCATTAATTAGGTCTTAGCAAAATAATGGGAAAACTTACTGAAACTGATGAAATTATTATTTCTAGGAAAGGCCAGACAACGACAACCACGAGGCATAAAAAGCAAAATGAACTGCAAATACTTAACTCTGGTAGTGCAAATATTCAGAAGATGGCTTTACCTCCATATTTGTTCAGAGAAAAACATTGTGAAGTTCCAGTCTGAACTCTCTTAAAGATTTATGTTTGTAGGACTTAGTGCATTTCTGTATTTCAGCAAAGATCCTGTACAGGAGGTAAATGAAATGAAGTCAACATAAAATTACTGCTGTGATACAAACTTACAGCAACCTTTATAACAAAATTTCTGAATATTGGTACAGACAAACATCTCAAAAAACCCAACAAAGTTTAGACCACGACCTAACTTTCTGAACTCACACAATAAATTCTTAAGCATGTTACCCCCAAATAAAAACAACCTGCATGCAAACGCCAACGTATGTAACATTCTTTGGAATTGGGTTTAAATTTCTCTGCATTGCACACAGGGCACAGCAGAGGTGATTCCCGCCGCCACGTGGAGCTGCTGGTGTGTTCTCAAGGTTGCAGAGAGCAGCGATGGGCATCAGCAGAGGGCAGCTGCACAGAGTTCTGCCCACACCTGGTCCTCGCCTGGGAATACAGGCTGTGGTGTACAGGTGGTGAATTAATACTGCTGAGTTCCTGAGGCTCATCATCCTGCACTCTGGCTTCTGAATCACAAAATACAGTCTCTTTGTCCAATAAAAGGCCTCACAGTCTTAAATGGTTGTAAACATAGTGGCATTTTTCACCATGCCTTTGCTGTTAAAAAAAATATTAGTCAAAAGTAGGAATACCTTAATGTTACAACTGTTACAAATTCAGAAAACTAGAGTTCTTTGAGAAACAAATCTGATAATGCATGATTAGTTTTGTGAATAACCTTTCAGCAGACCGAAGAGCTGACTCATTTACTATTCAAACTGCTAACAACCACCCAGTCTGTCCTATAGGAAATCCAAGCCTGATAAATATCCTGGAAACCATTTAACAAACTGAGGCAAGAGATCAGCACCAAACGTTCTTTGTTCTGTACAAAAACAGCTGTGTCACTGCACTGCAGAACGCATCTTTCACATTAGGCTGCTCATAGATTCAGGACAGGTTCGAAATCCAAAGCTTCCCTGTTCCTCTTGTAGAAAGATACAGACTGACAGTCACAATGACGTAACAGTGGTACAAACAAAATAAGATGCACCCACTGTAATCAAAAGTGGTGATGTTCAAAACTTTTCCAAAATAAAAAGGACTAACGTCTCGATTTTCAGAAGTTTACAGGCTAACTATCAACTATTACAATATTGCTTTAAATGAACTTTGTTAAAAATTCATCTTAATTAGCGCTCCACTTTGAACAGTGTGTGATGCAATCAGATCAACAGTAGTGAAATGATAGTTTACAAGCCAAGTAGTTGCCTTATTGCAAACTTCTTATCTCCACACTCAAAGGTATGGCTGAGAAAGGCTTCTGCAGAAGAGGTAGTGCTTCTTTGCTGGTCCTTGACGGATCCTGTTCAGCCTAACTGTAAGAATCCAAGTTAGGTGCATGAGTGAGGAGCTTAAGTACCCAGAGAGGCTCCTGAGGATGACTCACAACAGAAGTGCTCTAAAGTTATTTAACAGAAGTAAGGGATTTGTCTGCTTGACCTTTGGCATGTGAAAGTAAAAACAAGATAAAACTACTAGGCACAACCAGTGGAAAATTTGCTTCATTTTAAAACAGGTCAAATGAGTCTTCCTCCAGGAACATTTATTCCTCCTTGTTAATGAGCAATGGAGCAGTGCAGGTTGCTAGCACAAATTCAGTCTGATTTTCAGGCAAGTTAAAAGATGGTACCAACCCCATTTTAGGAACTTAAATACAATACCTGAAGTGAGATGGTGCCATTACTCTCTGTTCACCCCTCTGGGTGACAGAGTACCAGTGGCTCTTACTTAAAGAAGGGTCAAGTGGAACTGACCCTTGGTAGGATGTCAAATTTCACATCTCATTCCTTTATCTACTTCCCACTTCTTTGATGATG